TCTCCTCCTCCTTCTCCTCCTACTCCTACTCCTACTCCTACTCCTCTTCTTTCCTTCCACCTACAGCAGTGTTTTTCAAACTTGGCAACATTAAGATGTTTGCTCATCAACTCCCAGAATTCCCCAGCCAGCATGGAATTGAAGTCCACACATCTAAAAGTTGCTAAGGTTGAGAAACGCTGGTCTAGAGACATCTCATGTTTATAAGACCTCTAGGATTTTGTCTGAGTCATCGCCATTGGACGGGACGTTTTCACAATGTACAGGAATTATATGATTGGCAGGAAATTAGCTTAGTTCCAAACAAATCCAGATCTGTTTGAGGGTAAAACTAACTTGGAGTTAATGGGCTGCATCAATTAGCTGTGGTTTGGCTATGAACAATCAGTTCAGTATGTCAAGAGAACAATGCCAATGTGCATATGGAGACATCTGAAAGTAATCAGCTGTGGCTATCTATCTGTTGTACTGATGCCTTATTTGCTTCAGGATTTCCCCTGCTTATTTTATTGCTGAAAAGAAGGGACAGAATTAACTACCTGCTGCAGAAAACCTTATTACACTTCATCCCATGAATAAGCAAATGTTATGTAGTCAAAGGAAGTCTCCCTTTTGTGTTTCTCAATGCTCAACTGAAGTGAAGATGGTTGTAAAAACCTGCTGCCACCTGGTTCTGAATGCAAATTTGCCTCACTGATAATCCCTCAAGAACACAATTGATTTTGTTATGTGCCATCAAGTTGGTGTTGATGCTTAGTGACCATATAGATAGACATTCTCCAGGATGAACTATGCCCAATCTGGTCTTTCAGGTCTTCCAATGATGCACCCATCACCACTAATTGAGAAGAACATAGTGAAAGCTGAATGTCAACTGATACAACTCAGTTGAGATTGTACATTAAAAATATGTTAACTTTGAAATAGATTTGGATCCAAAATTCTCAACAGAGAACTTTTGGCTAAATTAGGGAAAAGGGGTTGGTAGCAAAAAGAGAAAAATACCCCTGTCAAGTTTTGAAAAAATAAGCAAAATATGGAGAGGGGCTGGGGAGAAGACCTGTGTAGTCTATGCAAAAAGGAGATATTAATTCTGGTAGCACCTTCAAGACCAACCAACTTAGGGTGTTTCCAGACATTATGTCTATGTTGAGGACGGAAGTGATTATGCTTTCCAGGTAATCATCAGATGGTAACTGCTATGCTTCCCCAAGGCCTGCAAGAATTAGATTATATAATAGTCCCCCACCCCCAAGTGATGGCAAGTGAAAGGACTACAGGCTGGATGAATGAATTTTAGCCCCTCCCCCCATGAAGATTCCTTATGCAACCATGTATAGATTCATTGTCTATAAATAGGCTGAAAACCTGAAACAATGCAAGTATGTTTTCAGACTGTCTCATCATTTAGATATTGGTATTCAGGACTGAAAAAGAAAGAAGGAAAGGGAAAGGGAAAGGGAAAGGGAAAGGGAAGGAAAGGAAAGGAAAGGAAAGGAAAGGAAAGGAAAGGAAAGGAAAGGAAAGGAAAGGAAAGGAAAG